GCGTCTGTCCTTCAGCGATTCCGAAGCCTCTGATAAAAGCCACCATGTTTCCTACCGGGGTTTGGCTTCACATTTGAGACATCTCTGCTTTCTTACAAGTCTCCAAGAGGATCTTAGTTTTTTTTTTTTTTTTTTTTTAAGCTGCAGGTAAAATGGGAGATGTTATTTATCCCAGAGGGACCACTGTTTAGAGCATCTTGTTATCTATTCAGAATCCGACTCTCACTTCCCAGCCCATGGCACCCAGGAAACACACTTCATCATGCTTGGAAGAGCTCCTAGCAATGACAAGTGAACAGGGACAGATAATCCAGTTGTACTGGGAGCTGCAGCAGGTGTACCTGGGAGGTACAGCCTTCATTTTAAAAATTGTAGGAGGTACCGTCCTCAGATTACGGTATCATCAGAACAAGGATGTTTCCTGAATGCTTGTCATCTTTATTTTGATCAAGGATCCTACAGCGGATTTTTGAAATGCATTATTTAGACTATGAACTGTGAATTTAATATGTGTTCATTCATAAAACTGAGTTGTTTTTAATATGTTAAAAAATCCCTGCGTGTCCTCCTCTGTAAATTAGAGGCTGTATTTGTGTGCACGCCGTGGTGTTGGAATACAGATTAAATGTGCCAACATTTACGAAGTGTTTTCCAATATCCAGCACAGCCTGGGGGCCACGTGGATGTTTCTGAGACGTGTTTCGAAGGCATCGTCAGGAATGGGGGTGGGGGGATGCTTCAGAAGGATTCCCTCGTGGTGTTCAGGGCAGCGCCTGGCACACGTAGGTGCTGCAGGAGTTTCTGCTGCTCCCACCGAAGCTGCTTGGACCAGTACCATGACCTCTTTTGTCTGTTGGGTTCTAGCTCAGAAGGATTTGGGGAAAGGTGTGCTGGTTATTTCCTCTTCATGCTTTTTGGATAACCTGAAGACATCCTCGTTTAAATATAGAGTTGGGAGTTGTAGTCATCAGCTCAGGCTGCCCCAGTAGAACGCTGCAGACTGGGCAGCTTAAACAGCAGACATTTCTTTCTCCAGGTTCTGGAGGCTGGGAGTCTGAGATTACGGTGTGGGCAGATTAGTCCCTGGCGAGGCTGTCTTCCTGGCTTACAGATGCTGCCTTCTTGCCGTGTCCTCACGTGGTGGAGAGGGAGCTCTGGGGCATCTTCCTCTCTTTTAAGGACACTAATCCCATCCTGGGGGCCCCACCCTCGTGACCTCGTCTAACCCTAATCCCCTCGCAAAGGCTCCATCTCCTAATAGCACCCTGTCGGGGATCAGAGCTTCAGTGTATGAACTCGGGGGTCACGCACATTCTGTCCATAGCAGGACGTATGCATTCACTGGACACCTGTTTAAGAAGCATCTCCCACCCGCCACGGACGTTGCTGGTCTCAGGTCCACATGGCAGAACCTGAGCATCGGGGGCCAGACACCCACACAAACACCTGGCATCTGGGTGAGGAAGCTGAGGCTAACGGAGAGTGGGTGGCTTCAGCAAGGTCTCCTGGGTCGTGAGAGGTGATGCAGAAATTGAACCCTGCTCCTGGGACCCGCAATTCTTTGGTGCCACTCCCTCCTCCAGAGGATGTAGCTAAATGTCCCAAAGTTAAAGTTGGTCGTGGGAGGGAGTGTGTGTTGTGCATGTGACCGAGTGTATGTGTGTGCCTGCTTATACACACGTGTGCATCTCAGCGTCTCCCAGACTTCCTTCCTTTCACTCAGGCATGATGTGTCATCACCCTGATGGGTGAGGGTTAGGACAGTGACATCGGATGTCGGGAAGAAGAAATGCATAAAACCGTCCATTTCGTGAGCTGTCAAAACATTTAGGAATTAAAAAGTACAAATGAAATCTCATTTCTTCTATCTTTATCATCTGTCCAGGGCTTGGAAATGTTCTGCAAATGCTCGGGGGTGGCTGTTTTTAGCCCAGCATCTATCATGTGTTTAAGTGGGATAAGTGGATGAGATTAATTCTCCGTGAGATGCATGAGCACGAAGAACAGCTCTTTTTTTTTTTCCTGTCCTTTTCTGTGTCAGAGAACTACCTGGCTGGGCAGGGCCACCCTGGGTGAGTGTGTGTACATGCATGTAAGTGTATTTGTGTGCATGGGTGTATATGTGTGTGCATGTGAATGCATGTGTGTGTGAGTGTGTGCATGAGGGTATGTGTGTGTGCCTATGAATGTGTGTGCATGGCAGTATATGTGTGTGCATGTGATGTGTGCATGTGACTGTGTGTGTGTGCAAGTGAATGTGTGTGTGTATGGGTGTAAATGTGTGAGTGCGTGTGACTGTGTGTGCACGGGGGTATATGTCTGTGCTTTGAAGTCCCTTTCCTTCAGAAACAGGATGATCAACAGATTTCCATTGCAATCCCGTCTCCTGACAGTAGCTGAATTTTGGGCACAGTGCTGTGTCCTTTGGGCATCCCAAGCTCATGTCCAGCACACCACAGGCAGTATCTTCTAAAACCGCCATCCTTGTATTTTAGTTGGACATGCTGATCACAAGCGCTGTTACCCAGACAAGAGGACTTTCAACCTGTGGGGGAAATGGACCCCCAGATAAGGCCCGCTGGAGGACCCAAAAGAAGCAGCGTCTGAAGAGAGGGCTGGACACATCCTAGGGAAATCCCAGGAGCGGGAGAGCCTGCGGCTGCAACAAAGCAGGTCTTTCTGATGGAGGTGACTCACTCTGGGGGTGAAACACGGCAGGGGGTTTCTGGGCATGGACCCCTGAATCCTCGGCCTGGAGAACGGTTGACTTACGAAACAAGCTCGTCCCAGGAGCCGACTGAAGGATCTGTTTGCCAAGGAGGTGTAAATCCATCCTAACAAGAACGTCTCAGACACCACTAAAGGGAAAACCAGTTCCTCTGTCTTGTAATAACGTATAATGGAAAATCATCTGGAAAATGTATGTGTGGGACCCTCCCAGCTCTCACCCTGCGGCCCACGCTCTTCATGTGGCTGTGCCTGATCTGGATTTTATCACAAAAGTGGAATCACAAGGAGATGCCGTCTTGGATTCTGTGAGTTGTTCTTGGAAATCCTCAACCCTGCGGGGGTCCTGGGTACCCCAGTACCTATAGTCAGTGGGTCCGGAGTGCAGGAGGACCCCAGAGACGTGTGGTGAGCGCAGTTAAGGAGAACCGAGGCCGTAAACATGCAGAGACTTTGCCACCTCTGGGTGGACAGCACCAGAATCGAATCACAGGACGCCCAGTTGAGGTGGAAACAGAACACGGGTCACAGCCACTGCCCCAGGAAGACAGGTAAATCCAACATCCATTCCCAGAAAACAGACTCAGGGCACGTGCGACGTGCAGGCAGTGTCTCCTATTTAAAATGAGTAAATCCTTTTTTTTTGGAGGATTTTTTCTTTAATACATCTGAAAAGAATGGCATATGCAGAAAAACAGATGCGAGGAAGCATCGGATCAACACTGACGAATTGACAAGGATGAGACTTGGGGCTGGTGGAATAGGTGACCTAAGCGTTTCTAAAAGTTGGAAACTGCAACTAAAATAAGATGAAAAAACCCCTATCAACACTTGGGGAAAAAACCCCAAAACACTTAGGAGTCTTCAGAAGACTGCGTGTCAAATCAATACGCTTTATACTTTATAACTGACATATAACATTGTATAACTTTATCTCCATAAAAAAGTAGTAGAATCCTGTCTAAAGGAGCTCGTTGCTACGGTGAAATGAATGTTTTTTCCCGAAGAGGCATGACCCCTGACCCCTCCTGACCCCATGGCCACCCCTTCCCACCCCGTCCTGGCACATGAGGACACAGGCTTTCCAATAACGCGTGCTCCCCTCTGCGGACTTTCTTGCAAACCTTCAGGCTCCTCCTGGGAGACGCCCCTATGTTTCAGATTGTCTTCGTCAACTCATGTCTTGACCGTAGGGTCCCAGGATCTTGCTTCCTTGAGTATGGGACCTGGTAACATCAAAGGAACAGTTAACCTGGCTGCCCTCAGCAGTGTCCCATCTTTGCCATGTCCAGTGTTTTTGGCAGGTGGGTACGCAGCCCTCTTGGGAGATCACACGGGGAGGTGTTGGTCTTCCAGACAATACGTTCAAAGTCACAGCTTCTCTGCCTGTCAGATGGCTCCGTGGAGTAAAGGAAGCTTTGCCCTGCACTTCTCTTTTTAACCTTCTCCAGCCCGATTATAAGTGCCGGGGGATATTTGTCATCACGACTTCCGAGATAGCCCTTTTGAGCACGTCTGAATCCAGAAAAATGTGACCGTGGGGTTGTTTCCTGGCCTGGGTGTGTACCTGAGGGTCCTACGATGGTACACTCTTAGAGGCACACGAGAAGGACCAGGGCTAGGCGTGTTGAGCGGATTTCCAAAAGTGTGTTACATGCGATGAGCTCCTGAAAAGTCATTGTCATGACAGTAAGATGAGGGAGTTCTGTAGGTTTCTGGATATTGAATCGTAGCCCCAAAGCCCCTCACTTACCACAAGGTCTAATCCCTTGAACTTCTCTGCCTGGTTCTTTTAATCTACCGGTTCTTTTTTTTTTTTTTTGCAGTTTTAAAAAAATTATAGTTGATTTACAATGTTTTAGGTGTACAGAAAAGTGATTCAGCTTTATATATATACGTATATTCTTTTTCTGATTCTTTTCCATTACAGGTTCTTACAAGATTTTGAATATAGTTCCCTGTGCTGTACAGTAGGACCTTTACATATAATAGTGTGTGTCTGTTAGTCCCAAACTCCTAATTTATCCCTGCCCCCGTTTCCCCTTTGGTATCTGTAGCTCTGTTTTCTGTTTGTGAATCTGTTTGTGTTTCATAAATAAGTTCATTTGTGTTACTTTTTAGACTCTGCATGTAAGTGATGTCATTATGGTATTTGTCTTTGTCTTACTTCACTTAGTACGATAATCTCTAGGTCCATCCATGTTGCTGCAAATGGCATTATGTCATTCTTTTCCATGGCTGAGTAATACTCTGTAGCACACGCGCACACGCACGCGCACACACACACACACACAGAGTTATATATATACACTCCACCACCCCACGTCTTCTTCTAATCCACTGACCGTGCCCAGGGACCAGCTCCCAACCCAAAACAAAGGGTGTCTGGCGTTCAAACCTTCCTCCTTCCCTCCTACTGCCCGAGGTCCACTTTTCTCAATCTCTTCTCAGCCTTTCAGGCTTTTTCTTGAACTTCCAGTTCTCCTGCTGTGACTCTCCTCACTGCATGGAAACCAAGAACCTTTCTGCTGTCTCGACGTTTCCACCTCAAATTGCTAAATGTCGTGCGTTCAACACAGAGGCGGGACAGCCATCTGCTTTGAGCCAGCGAGTAAGCATTTCAGCTTCATCAGGCGTTGGCCATACAGCAGAAATGAACACCACGTTGTGAGCAACTCTACTTCAATAAAAATAAACTTTTTAAAAGAGAGTTGGAGACCTGAGTATTTACACTGGGGTCTTCATATGCATCTATCGCAATGGATTAACCCAATGTGGAAGTACAACCCACTTGGGTGCACCTTCCTGCACCCATGGAGGCTGGGCTGCCCCACCCTGTCCGGCCCGGCTTTGTGCCTGAGTCCATGGAAGAAGGTCGGAGGTGCTGTGTCTCACCCACAGTGTCTGTGAGCGTGGAGACCCCCGTGTCTCTGCTCTGAAAATTGACTTCTGTTCTTCTTTCCTTCTCCCTGCAGACCCCGGATGAGGGAGCCTGGACCTCCGTCTACGCGGCGGTCACCCCAGCGCTGGAAGGCCGTGGCGGCTGCTATCTTTACAACGAGAAAGAGACCAAGTCTCTGGCGGTCACGTACGACCTGAAGCTTCAGCGACAGCTGTGGGCCAGAAGTTGCCAGATGACGGGCATCACCGATGTGACCCAGGAGGTCCTCTAGGGTTAGCCACCCGCCGGGGAGACCATGTTCTGCCAGGCGTGCACAGGTGTGTCTGCTGGACCACGTGTCTGCGTCGTTCACATCCCCCGCCCTTGGGGCTCTGTCTCCCCAGCGTCTCCCATCGGCTTCCTTGCCCTGGGCCGGAACTTGAGGAGAAGAGGAATGCTGAGTGCGACCCCAAACAGCTGGCCCTCAGCCATGAATCTCGTGATCCCCACCGTGTCCAGTTGTACCGGGTGCCCTGAGTCATTAAACCCTGCCAGCCACGCAGGAGGTGTTCTTGCTTAGCACAGAGGCGCCGAGGACCCTGGGGTAGAAACATCCGGGTGAAACAAACAGTTTCAAGGAGGCCTGGAACTGTTGGGCGCTGGTGGCTTTGAGGGTGTCCTGTGTCCCCTGTTCTCTCACTCACAATTTGTGCCAGAGGTGCGGCTCTGATTTGTGGGTCCTGGAAAGGGAGAGACGTGAGCCTTCCTTAGTCTGTTGATCAAGGGTCATGTGACCACCCTACCCGTCTGCCCCACCATCTTTAGGGGGACCAGGTCCTAGGGGCTTCCTGCCGCTGTTAGGGCATCTATCAGGGCTCTCACCCCGTGACTCATGGCAAGACCCTCAACAGAGGGGTAGGGAATTCTGTAGGACACGGGGTAAGAAAGGGGGCCTGGACACCTGTCACCGTGGGGTCTGTGGGACAGGGTTGGGGCCTGGACCCTGTCACCATGGGGTCTGTAGGACGGGGCCTGGACACCTGTCACCATGGAGTCTGTGGGATGGGGCCTGGACACCTGTCACCATGGGGTCTGCGGGACGGGGCCTGGACACCTGTCACCATGGGGTCTGTGGCACAGGGATGGGACCTGGACACCTGTCACCATGGGGTCTGTGGGACGGGGCCTGGACATCTGTCACCATGGGCATCTGTAGGATGGAGCCTGGACACCTGCACCATGGGGTCTGTAGGATGGAGCCTGGACACCTGTCACCATGGGGGTCTGTGGGACAGGGCGTGGACACCTGTCACCATGGGCATCTGTGGGATGGAGCCTGGACACCTGTCACCGTGGGGTCTGTAGGATGGAGCCGGGATACCTCTGACCATGGGGTCTGTAGGACGGGGCCTGGACTCCTGTCACCATGGGGTCTGTAGGATGGAGCCTGGATACCTGTCACCATGGGGTCTGTAGGATGGGGCCCGGACACCTGTCACCATGGGGTCTGTAGGACGTGGCCTGGACACCCGTCACCATGGGGTCTGTGGGATGGGGCCTGGACACCTGTCACCGTGGGGTCTGTAGGATGGAGCCTGGACACCTGTCACCATGGGGTCTGTAGGATGGGGCCTGGACACCTGTCACCATGAGGTCTGGCACAGGGACGGGGCCTGGACACCTGTCACCGTGGGGTCTGTGGGACAGGGACGGGCACGGGGCCTGGACTAAACCAATCATGGGATTCAGCTGCACAGCGTTTGCCGGTCTGCACATTCCCCCACCATTTTTTAGGGCCTTAGTCTAAGAATGGCAGCTTTGCTGCCCACTTGCCCTTCAGTGGTCACATGAAGCCTCTCTTCTGGTATCTGCTTCTTCATTTCATCGTCTGTTAACACAGGCACGTTCCTCTCCTGGAGATGTGTGCAGGGCTTGGATTCTACTTCAGACCACGACACTAATGTAATAACAACAATCATGTCGAATGCCCCGTGCTTCCCTGGATTTGGGTGCCCGTCGCAGTCTGTCAGGCTCTTCCTGAACTAGTTTCCCCGTGGACCTTCCAGGGTCTGCAGACACCTCCTCTTTCAGCAGCGTGACGGCCGCCCTCTACACCTTGGAAACAGGTCAGTGGTGGGACCATCCTGGTTTCATCCAGTTCCCTCTGTAGTGGCTTGAATGGTGGCTTCTCAAGATACATGTCCACATCCTAAGCCCTGAAACCTGCAGCTGTGTTCCCGTTGGGACAAGGCTCATTGCAGACGTCATGAAGGCCCTAAGATGAGGACACCATCCTGGCTTATCCAGGTAGGGCGAGTGTGCTCACAAGGTTGCTTATTGGAAACAGGGAGAGGGAGATCTGATTACAGAAGAGGGAGGGGGTCATGTGACCACAGAGGCAGAGACGGGAGGGATGCGGCCACAAGTCCAGGGACGCCTGGAGCCCCCAGAAGCTGGAGGAGGCAGGAAGGACCCTCCCCTGGAGCCTCTTCGGGGAGCTCAGCCCTGCATCTTCAGAACTGAGAGAGAATAGATTTCAGTTGCTTGAAGATACCAACACCTTGATGGTAGTTAGTTACAAGAAGCTCATACAGTTGTTGACACATGTGAACATCTCTAGCAGCTTAGTGGACCTTTGCCTGGGCATCGGGGCCCGCCCTGCTTCACCCAGCAGTCAGGCAAGGAAGGCTCAATCCTCTCTCTGAGAATGGCTCTTGGGTTCTCAAATTCCAACATGGAGAGATCAGACATTTAGAATGCTAGCGAAAGGACTCTGTGTGTTTCCTGCAAGACTGCACCCTGAATTTCAAGACCAGGGACCACTGGTCAGCTAACCATGCATTCCCTCAATTGACAAAATCCCGCTGAGGCCCCAAACCTGATGTCAGCCCCCAGCACATTCATGCGTTGGAAAAACAACCAGCAGCTCTTCCAGAGTGGGGTTCACACTACACTAGATAGATAGATAGATAGATAGATAGATAGATAGATAAGTAGATAGATAGATAGGTAGATAGATAGGTAGATACGTAGATAGATAGGTAGATAGGTAGATAGATGATAGGTAGGTAGGTAGATAGGTAGATAGGTAGATAGGTAGGTAGATAGATAGGTAGATACGTAGATAGATAGGTAGATACGTAGATAGATAGGTAGATAGGTAGGTAGATGATAGGTAGGTAGGTAGATAGGTAGATAGATAGGTAGATAGGTAGGTAGATAGGTAGATAGATAGGTAGATAGTGGGGTTCACACTACACTAGATAGATAGATAGAAAGAAAGAAAGAAAGAAAAAGGGTTTACGGGTCAGCAAACTTTTTATATATAGGACCAGTTAATAAAGATCTTCATATTTTAGAGCTTTATGATCTATTACAACTGCTCAACTCTTCCATGTGACGCACAAGCACCTACACACGCTACGCTAACGTGTGGCTGTGTTCTAATAAACCTTTATTTACAAAAAAGGGGGGAGGTCAGGTTTATCCGAGGCCCATACTTTGTTGACCTGGGGTTTTGACCCCTGTGTGCCACGTGGAGAATTGTAAGTCCTGTCGTATGGGTGGGCATTTAGCCTCAGAAAGACTCGGTGTCTCACCCGGCTTCAAGTTCCTGCTGGCCCTTAGGTGGGAACCTCAGGGGTGTCTAACCCCAGAGAGCATGTTTTCCTTACAGATGAACAAGACGTTATGAGTTCTGTGTCGTGCAACCAGGAGACGGTGGTGTAAAAGGACAGGAGACCAGGACGTGTACGTTTGAGGTCCTCACCTCCTCGCCTGCATCCTGCTGTGGTTGGCAGAGCTGAGACCGCAGCGTCTGGGACTGTTCATGTGGTGGCCTGAGAGGAACAAACCAGGGCCCCTTCTGCAGGTGTGCAGACTCTGCAGGACGTCCGCTCGGATAAGAAACATCCTGACACCCTTCCCGGGAGAACCATAGGGTGACAAGGAGGCTCCCGGGGACCATGGACCAGCACGAGGAAGAGAGCTGCCAGAGGGTCAGACATTCCTGACCCCCTTCATCGCAGTTGCAGGAGAGGTGATGATTATGGCGTGAAGCCACAAGACGATTTGTGGGTCCTGGTGGCCTGTGGCTCAGATCACTGTGTGAAGATGGGGGCACGTGGTCCCAGTGGAAGACCCTGCTTATTCAAACAGCTCACTATTATGTCGTGTATAAGAGTGTCCTGGGCGGCTGTAACACAGGACCACAAACTGGGAGTCTGAAAAGAACAGAAATTCATCCAGCCCCAGGTCCTGGAGACCAGATGTCTGAGGTCAAGGTGTCCCAGAGCTGTGCTCCCTTCAGAGGCTCCAGGGGAGGATCCTTCCCACCTCTTCCAGCTTCTGGGGGCTCCAGGTATCCCTGGGCTTGTGGCCGCATCCCTCCCATCGCTGCCTGTGTCTTCATGTGGCTTCTCCTCTGTGCCTGTGTCTCTCCTATTCTGTGTCTTATAAGGACACTGTCATTGGATGTAGGGCCACCCTCATCCAGGCGGACCTCATCTCAGACCCTTCACTTCCATCCGGATAATCAAGAATGATCTCTTCATCTCAAGATCCTTCATTAGTTACATCTGTCAAGAGCCTTTTGCCGACAAAGTCATATCCACAGGTAACAGGGTTTAGGACGTGGTCATATCTTTTTGGTAGAAAATATTCAATCCACTGCATGGTACATGAACTGGATACTTGGAAACTCAGGAAACATCCATTCCTTTTCTGGTGAACTGGAAAGCCGCGGAGGTCACGGCTTCTTCTATATGTACCCAAGGCCGCTTTCCTGGGTGAGTGACCCATGTCACCCATGGGACCCTGGGCTCATAAGGACGCCTATTGGCTTAATGCCCTATGACCGCCATCTTGAAATTCTTAACGAAGCGTGAACAAGGACCCACATTTTCATTTTGCCCTGGAACTGCAAATGCGATAGCCCTCTTTGCTCACATTCCTTCCAACCTCAAGAAAGAGGAGCAAGTCTGCACCCAATAAGGACACCCCCACCCCCAGCACACCCTCCATCCAGCCACTGATGTGTTCAAACCTACCTTTCGTGGGTGGTGAAGACCTCTCCCCAAGATCCAGTAAGGCTGGTGGGTTTTGGCTGCACGCTGGGGGAGCCTCTGAAAACCACTAATGCTCAGCTCCACCATCAACAGAATCCCCAAGTTCGTTCCTCTGGGCAACGGCATTTCTTAGACCTCCTCAAGCCATCCTCTTGTTCAGCCAAGTTTGAGGCCCTCTGGGCCGGGCAAACGCAGACTGAAGCTTCCAGCCCTGAGTGCCAGCCCCTCCCAGAACTGCTCAGATGTTCTTCTAAGCCCTACAGCCCCGACTGATGTGTTTCAGAACTAGAATTACTTTGTATGTTCAAACCAAGATGGAGACAAGCCTTGTCTAATATTCCCGGACAGCCAGGATGATGTACTGCAAAGCAGGATCTTGACTTCCAGGAGGATCCCGACCTTGGAGCGTTTGCACATCACTAGAGAGCCCTTTGCGGCTTGAGGTCATGGCACACAAGCGCCAGCTACTCTTAGCGGCGTCACAAAGTCGGCTCCCAAGCACAGACTCGGGATGGGTCCTGGCCAGTCCGACACCCTCTGTCACTCTGAGAACAAGCTTGCTGGCCCCTGAGAGATGCTGCAGTCCCTGGGCGAAGATAGGCTCTGAGAGCAATTTGGACTGTGTAGGACCCTGGCCTCACAGGGCCCCTCCTCTTTGCATGACCGGCCTCATGTCGCTCGTCCACCAGGGGAGAGAGAGGACACAGTTCTGGAGAAGTTACCGTGTTCCCTCGACACCCGATTGGGGAACATTCCTCAGAGCTCAGAGACACTTCCCAGCAGCTGGAGAAGTCTCATGGACCACTGGGTGAGTAAGGCCACGTCCATGGCATGGTGGGCACTGGGGATCCTGGGTTTACACCTGTCGCTGTCGTTCGGGGAGCCCGGGAAGGGGGCTGTGTGCATACACACGGGGATGGATGACCTTCCATCCCTGGGCAAGTCTTGATTCAGTAATTGGACCCATGGTGCATGTATTTCTCAGTTCCCTCCACGTAGCATCAATGAGTTTTGTTCGACAGTGGGAACGACCACCTCATCCATCCATCCATCCGGCAGTGATGTGTTGAGTAGGGTTACCCAGCCAAGCTCTGGGCAAACACTGGATGGAGCTGAAAGTTGAGTGGCACAGAGCTCTTGTCCTAAAGGAGCTTGCTGTCTAGGGTGGGATTAGGACTCAAAGATATCAGGTCTTAATGCCTAGAAACTGGGGATGGTACCAGACGTGATAAGAGGCACTTTTGACGGGAAAGAGTGGGCTCTGCAAAGGCGGGTCTGTGTCCGATAAGACCCAGTTGAAGCTTCCTCCTTCTCGACTCCCACTGGATTTTGAGGGTGCCTGTATGGAAAATACCTCTCATCTTGGCTATTAGGAAATACAACCGTAGCAGGTGCACCGGGCTCCCTCCAAGGCTGGACAGGTTGGGAAGCTGATTACGAGCTCCTCAGGGGACCCATGGGTCCGGGAGGTAGCACCCTGCCCATTTCCCATGTGGGCTCTTCCTTGGGAAGTGTCAAGTCTCGCATTTGTTAAGCACCCTCGTTAAGCCTTTTGGTCTCTGTGTTTCCGACTCTTCATCCATCAAATAATGCTCCTAACATGTGCCCTGTCTACAACCGGGTTTGCCGAGTGGACAGCAAGACGGTATGCGTTCTGTTTGAAGGATGCTTAGGGGTAAATCCCTGCCAGGCATGGTTCTCCATCCAAGCTCCGTAGTCACTGAATTTGTCGTTTAACCGGAGAAATGAGTTGGAGTTGTATTTTCTGTCGTCTGGGTACCAGTATCCTAGGGGTTTGATCTAAATCCGTAGCTTGTTTACCGACGGCCACAAAAACACAAACACGATCCCAGACATAAGGACATCCTGGGTTTCTGCATGTGTGATGGGGGAGCATCTGTACGTAGTAAAAAGCTTGAGAATTTTTCGGTCTCTGGGGCTCTCTTCAGTGAAGCGTTTTCTGAAGTTCACAGTCTTTTAGCGATCTTTGCGTTTATTGCTAGCTTAGAACTTCTGGTGATACTGCCTACATCTGTTCCTTCCCTTTTTTTCCCTTCATTCTTTGCCTTCATTCTGGGATGTCATGTCGGGCTTCCTGAGTTAATGCCTGTCCCTTATGTTTTACTTTTCATATTTCTGGTCGCAGGGTCCTCATTTTTGTCTGTCCCTTGGGCTGCATCTCATAGATACATAGTTCAGTCCTTATTTTCATGGTTCCTCTTTACCCCATGGGTTACTTGAATGGGTATTTAAAAATCCCCAAGTATATAGAATTAAAAATAATCCTTTTACTGTCATGGGTCCAGGAATGCATTAAAAAGCACGTCTGTTCTAATTCACCCAGAACCTATTGTTCTGTCCTTCAAAGACCCTGCGGGACTTCTGGCCTACCGTGGTACCAGATGTGTAGATACAATAAAACATTTTCATTTAAAATATCCTGGAAAGGAAAAAACAGCATGGGAACTAAGAGGAACACTTTTTTAAGGGAGGAATATTTAGTTTTCTGGCTTTATTGAGGTATCAGTGACAAATAGAAATTGTATCTCTTTAAGGTGGACAACATGTTCTGATTTGCAGCTGCAGTGTGAAATGTCTATTGCCAACTGCATCATTTGGTCAAACGTTTACCCTCCAGGATCCCGGTGTCCCATTCTGTTCAATGGGTCTTTTATGGTTACAAGACTCAAATAAGAGGATGGATCTAAAAGCGTTTTAAGGCTGCAAATACGTTTCCTATATGAGTCATGTCGCCGCTGTGGGTTTGGTGCAAATCACGTGGACCTAATGATCTGGACTCCTTTCCTGATATCCTGGTGCTTCTAAGTAGTGGCTGTTTTCTCCGGGGTGCAGGGAAAGGTGGGGAGGGGCACCCTGAGTGGACCTCACACTAGCATTTGGCAGGAGGAGGCCAGCGTGTTAGATTTCTTACAAGGCACAGGACAGGGTACCCAGTGTCAGATGTTCTCACACCTCACATGACTTCTTCACATCTGGCCAGACGTTCACATAGGGGAAACCCTGTTTATAGTTAACCGCAGCCTAGAACTCACGGCTGTTTACACATCCGTGCAAGAGATTGAATTTCCAGGCAAGCAACCATTGCATTCATAGAGAGAAGATTATCCTTGGCTTGAATGTTCAGCATTTGGGGAAAGCGTAGGGCAGGCGGCAGCTCGTGGCATTTGAGTGACCAGTTCTCTAGGCCTGGGGCAGCCGGCACCATCTTGGGGATCCAACATACGAAGACATCCCCTTACTGCTTCACCCTCTCTGGGGGCGGGGCGGGGGAGGTCCAAGCACTGCTATGTTCAAATGGGTATCACTTTATGGTCACTTGTGTTGTGTGGACACCATGTGGCTCTTATTACATTTGTCTGTAGGTATCTGTGATTTTGTTTTAGGAAAGTAAAGGGACATTAAAAATGGGTGAACCTCCATCCCCAGGGTGGAATATTATTTGGCTATGAAAAAGGAATGAAGTATTGATACATGGTGTATCGTGGGTGAGCCCTGGAAGCATCCTAAGTGAAAGACTCCAGGCACAAAAGGCTACGTCGTATATGATTCCATTTCTACAAAATACCCACAAGTGAAAGACTCCAGGCACAAAAGGCTACATCGTATATGATTCCATTTCTACAAAATACCCACAAGTGAAAGACTCCAGGCACAAAAGGCTACATCGTATATGATTCCATTTCTACAAGATACCCACAATAGTAAAATCCAGAGAGACACAAAGCGGCTTAGTGTTTGCCAGGGGCTGCTCACGGGGACAGGTCTCCTTTGGGGGATGAGAAGGTTCTGGAACCAGATAGAGGCGGTGGTTGCACAGCATAGTGAATGTGCTCAGCGTCCCTGAATTGTCCAGTTTCAGTGACTCATTGGATGTTATGTGAATCTCGCCTCCATACAATTAAATACTTGCTACGAGGCAGATACAAAGCACCTCCCAGCAAGGCTGTGTTTTCTTCTCAGCCCCACACCCTGGACATTCGCGGGCAGTGCTTTGAACCGGACCAAACTCATCAATGGAGCAGAAGCAGTCTGGCCTGACCCTCCACTTCCATTTTTCCTTTGCACCAGGATTGCATAAGGCATTCTCCCCTTGGGATAGCTTTCCTGAGCCGGGATTCCCAAGAGGGCCGGAAGAGCATTTTTCCAGGGATGTCGACCCCAGCGATGATAGGTTGGTTCTGACAGACCTCGAACATCGTCCTCGGTTTCCACGAACAGGCGTTATGCCCAACTCCTGTCCACCTAAGCTAACTGCTTGATGGCGGGGCGGGACCACCTCCATGGTGGGCTCCTTGGGTATTATATCCTGTCATAGATAGCGGACAGCCCTCAAGTTGTTTCTTGCTTCAATCAAATCAAAAATAACTAATACGGGTGTTCGTTTCCTTTTCAGAAAGGTTGGGAAATAAGACAGGAGATGTGGGGCTTCCATTTGGGAAGTTCCTACTTTATGCCAGGATATTTCCAAAGTTGGGAGATTAGGTTTGACATAAATACATTACCATGTATAAAATAGGTAGCCAGTGGGAACCTGCAGTATAGCACAGGGAGCTCAGCTCGAAGCTCTGTGATGACCTAGGTGGGTGGGATGCGGGGGGGATGGAAGGAAGGTCCAGGAGGGAGGGGATATAGGTATACATATAGCTGATTCAGTTCATTGTACAGCAGAAACTAACACAACATTGTAAAGCAGCTCTACTCAAAAAAAAAAAAAACAAACTTCCAGTATCATCTTATTTAACCGTCTATGCATCCTGCAAACAAGGTGTCCCCGCCTTGGGCTCCCAGGCCTCCGTCCACTGGACCATATGGACGATATTTCCACGTCTCAGACCTTTCGACACTTGTTGCTTCGAATGAAGCTTTCAGCACACACTCCGGGCAGGCATGTCTTGTCCAAGAGGTCCTGTAGTGTAGCAGGTCGAACCCTTCACTTCCAGGTAGAATCAAGGCTCTAGGAAGCAAAACACAGCTCTCCTCTGTCTTCGAGGTCATAGCCTGCCTTTGAAGGAGGCTGAAGGTCATCCTTTCACATTGAGAATGTGCAACTTGCGGTCCAAAGCAGACCTTCCCTCCTTAGCCACTGGACCAGCCTCCCAGCCACTGGGGCCATAGATCTGCATATCAATGGCTGTTGGCAACTTCACTTTGTATTTTAGTTATTTGACCTTCAGGCGTCCTTGGCAAAGGCACGCAGCCTTTAATGCTCACTTGTAGCAGGAGCCCCGCTTCCTTTAAAAACTCTGTCTCCCTATGTCTGAAGGGCAAGGAGGCAGAAAAATAACAAGAGTTTCAGCAACCTTCAAAATAGAAAGAAATAGACCCCATTGGGTTCCGTCATTTTCTGCCCGTCTTTGAAATTCTCTCCGTGGAAGGTTTTATAAGTGCCAAAGCGGAATGAAATATGACAGTCGATTTCCTAGGATTGGAAGGACCTCAGAGGCCATGCATAAATGATGGCGCACCCTTCCCGGGGCTGGAGGGAGTTATAAAACAGTTCAAGATGATTCAGGGACCTCCGAAGGCACAGGATTTGCTTTTGGGATGTGTCTTGGGTATTAGGAAAAAATGGCACCTGGTTAAGTTAGAGACGCAAAATTATATCCCGAGGAAAATAACCGAAAGCATCTCCAGGCAGTACAAGTGGCAACTCTCTGCTTGGAAAATGATGGATGGAACGCCGATGTGCCAAACCAGAGAATGCACGTGTCTTAGAAGTTTGTAAGGGAGGGAGGTCAGGACACAGCCAGGAAACTGGACCAAGTGGCCAGACGCCTACACCTTGGG